TTAGGTTAGTAAAGGATCTCGGCAGCAGGCTGCATGGCAAGACTCCTGAAAATATAAAAAATACTAAATTCAGAACAAACAGATTCTTCATAAAGCAGGCCTGTGGAAAAGCTCTAGTGCCCAGGTACCGCAAAGCTTCTTCACTAGTTTGTTAAAGAAAAAGTCCTGTTGTACTTTAACAAATAAACATAATTTCTCATGGGCTTCAGCTATGGTACGGATGAATGTATTATAACAAGGATGGTTACCCACAGTTCAAAGACGTGCTTACTGCAGACATCCAAGCACCTTGAAAGATATTGCTATTGCTTCATCAAGTACTGCTGCAATGCTTCTGGCAGGTGGAAGTGTTCAAACTGCTGTTAAATATGAGCACAGTGGTCAGGAGCAGGTCCCTCATATCTATAGAAGTCATCATAATTCTTCAAACAAAGCAGTGGTTTTCCTCTTTTCAGATAAACTGTGCCTGCCAAAAATGCCCTCCACATCTACTCCATTTCCACAGCCTGTGCCTTTCAATATTACTCTCTGTAGCAGAGTTGTTGAACTCATTCGTTATGAGGGCTGGATCTAACACAAATGTCACTTTGTCAGGCCAGGCCATGTGAGCCATAACATGTAACTCAAGATACCAGAGATATAAATTTTATAAAGGTGATTTCAGGTGGCAATGGCAGGTGAATGACAACAGTGAGCTTGATTGGATTAGGTGTGATATGCAGAGGGGTAGTAGGTGTGGATACTGGTAATGAGACAGAAAACCTAGGTTTCAGTTCAGTCCAGGATTCAGTCCAGGAGCATGCAAAGAATAAATGAAGTTAAGTCTGACATTAGAAATTGCAACATTTAAAAAACTGGAGGAACGTTTTAACCTTCCAGGACATTCAGTTGCTGCTGTAGCAGTTCTCTTAACAAAGGAATTTCAGAGGGAGATTAGAAAGAGAGACTGCTGAATGGCAACTGATAATGAAGGTAAAGACCATGCATCCTCCTGTATTGAACAGCAACCTAGTTTTCCTGTCTCATTACCTATGCCTGCTATTGTCATTTAGCATCTGAAATCACTCCATTCTCCAAGATATAAGTATCTGAAGAAGTGATCAGTTATTCACAGAAACTCATACCCTGCCACAAATTTTGTTAATCGTTAAGGTGGTACTGGACTCTTGCTCCTTTCCACTAACAAAAGATTTCAGGCTATGCTGTTAGGTCCCCCCCCCATCTGTTACTGTGTTGATTTTAGACTGGGCAAAGTGCACTCAGTGCTAGTGATGGTAATGAAACAGTTAAAAAGCAAAGGGGAGGGGGGGTTAATGTGAAGAAAGGCAGCCAGCGAGGTGGGAGGGGAGAGAGGGAGATGTGTTGAACTGGAACATATGGAAACATAAATGTATTTTTAAATATTTAGCCACCTACTTCCAGTCATTAAACAATGGAATCTAATCAAGTGTTGTAATTCCTAATCAGGGTCTTTTGAAGAAAATAAAACCTTTCAGAATAAGCCAAAATAATTTCCTTTTCTCCTTTCCCCTGATCCCAATGCACCTTCTTTTTTAATGTGTGTATGTGATCAAGTCTAAACAGCAGAGCAGGGCAATCTCAGGGTAAATTGCGCTTGTCAGAAGAATCACCTTCACTCTGAAGAAGTGTGCATGCACATGAAATCTTATACCTGGAATAAAACTTTGTTGGTTTTAAAGGTGCTATGGGACTCTGACTTTATTCTCTCTCATTCTCTTTTTCCCCTCCCCCTCCCTTCCTCCCCAAAGGAGGAGGAGTGGGGAGAAGGCCTCAGCCAATGGAGGGAAGGGAGGCTTGGCTTTGTATTTTCCCTGCATGATTGAGGGAGCCTTGCAAAAGCAAGCTGCAACACAGCAGCAACCCTAACAGAAGGAAGCAGGAGAGAGCGATTGAGGGGAGCCAGGTGAAAGCGAGCTGCAATGCAGCAGCAGCCCCAGAGAAGGAAGCAGGAGACAGCCAGTTGCTCATAGGCCGGATACAAGCCCTGCAGGGGCTGGTTTCAGGCTGTGGGCTGTATGTTTGACACCCCTGCTCTATAGCTATGTATCTAATTTTGTAATTTTATATATACAATTAAAATACGTGGTGGCTTAGAGGTTAAGACGCTTAGCTGCAGAGCGGAAGGTCGGTAGTTCAAGACCCTAGTGCTGTGTGACAGAGTGAGCTCCCATCTCTGGCCCCAGCTCCTGCCGACCTAACAGTTCGAAAGCAAGAAATTGCAAGTAGATAAATGGGTACCACTTTGGTGGGAAGGTAACAACGTTCCATGCACCTCAGCATTTAGTCACGCCGAGCACATGACCACGGAGAAGACTTCGGACAGTGCTGGCTCTTCAGCTTGGAAACGGAGATGAGCACCGCCCCCTAGAGTTAGATGCAACTGGCTTTCGAGCAAAGGAAACCTTTACCTTTATTTTACTATACAGGTCTACAAATACAAAATACACTTCTTTCATCTGATGAAATGGGCTCTAGTTCACAAAAAATGCATGTCTCAATAATTTTTTAGTAACCAAATCAGTAAGAAATCTATTTTAATTTACTCTTGTAACTTCACCTAGTACTAAAGCAGGGACAAACTGAATTATATAGTGGTGCTTCATGAGAAGTACTTGGACCACTGGGATGGATTTTGCTGATGTCAAAAAGATGGTGTCATTTGTCATATAGCAAAGTAGCCCTTACAAAGGACTATTGATCTCCCACCAACACATTGGGCAGGGGGTTGGACTAGATGGTGTGTATGGCCCCTTCCAACTCTATGATTCTATGAATAATAATGATAACTCAGCACCTGAGCTGGGAGTTCTAACTTGTTCCACATGTATAACTACTAAAACAGATAATGTTCCATTACCATGCATATAAAGGGTGGAGAGCATCCTTTTATTATTTTATTAGATCATTGGAAAATATTACTCCCCCAGTTTCTGTTCATAATACTAACAAAAATTTGCTACTATATTACTCTTGAGTACATTCTAAGTTGCCAAGCAGGATAGGGATGAGAAGGAGATAAGAGATCAAGACTTCGAAATAAGGGGAGGGGAACACAAAAATTAGGTGGAAGGGGAGAGAAATGAATGGAAAAAGTGTGGGAAAGAGGGAAATAAATTAAGTAGAGAGGGAAAGGCTGTTTTATCTTGTCGCAACACACTAACTACCACTTTGCAAACTCTGGCTGGGCAGGCAAAACATTGGAGCTGGGAACAAGGAAAAGAACAGAGGACAGATTTAGAGACAACCACCTTGTTAGCAGGCTGCAAGCTGGGAATTACTAAAGCAGCCATCAGCCCTGCTCTCTTGTCTTGCTCCAATGCCAGCTTGGTTGATGGGCTCAGCATGATTTGTTAGTAGGGTTGCCAGCTACAGGTTGGGAAATATGTGGAGATTTTGGGGGTGGAGCTTGAGAAGGGTGGTTGGGGAGGGAACTTCAATGCGGTATAATGCCATAGAGTCCACTTTCTAAAGCAGCCGTTTTCTTCAGGTGAACTGATCTCAGTCACTAGTTGGAGATGTTAGATTCAGGTGGGTAGCTGTGTTGGTCTGGAGCCACAGAATAAAGTTTGGGTGCAGGGGCACCTTTAAGATGAACAAAGTTTTATCTAAGGTGCAGGGATCATTTCCTGCAGGAGCACACAGGAGCGGAGCTCCGGCAGTAAAGAACCTAGGGGGCGGGCACATGCAACAAGCTCCACCCCCTGCTCCCAGCAGCCCTCAGTCAGAGCAAGAAGCAGCCAGGTAAGTTACAGAGCTCCCCCCCTGCCCCCCCCTCCAAAATAGTCCAGTGGCACCTTTAAGACCAAGTTTTATTCAGGTACAAGCTCTCCCTCCTTTGCCAGGACAGATCTATGTGTGCCCCCCCCCCCCAATAGCTAGCAATCCAAAACAGTCCTGTGGAGCCTGAGCTGTTGGCGCTGCCTTCTGACACACTTCCGGGGATGTGGTATATGCAAATGAGTTATGCTAATGAGTTCCTGCACCTCTTTTTCTAGGAAATGACCCCTGCTAAGGTGTAAGCTTTCCTGTGCAAGTACATTTCCTCAGACAAATTGAAACAAAAATTCTTCAAGCCTTACAGGAAGGAGGGGAGTTAAGATGTATAAGTGAAGCTGAGATTGGATCAAGGCAGTAAGATCAATGAGTTAGCACACAAACGAGAGAGCTAACTACTCGTGGTTTTGAGTCTTGTTTTTTCCTGTGCTCAGACCTCCCTGCACCCCTAGTGGCTGCAGTAAGAACTGCATTAGGATAAAATAGATCCTGGTGGGCAGCTGAGTTGGTCTTTAGAACAAATTTTGAGTCCCGTAGCACCTTTAAGGCCAACAAAGGTTTATTAAAGGTATGAGGTTTTGCGTGCATGCACACTTCTTCAGATACACTGAAAGGGAAGCTAAATTCGCATACAACTTAATGAAGATGTTTTGACACATACAAAGACCAAACAGCAGTAACAGGCTAAGTTCATATAGTCACCGTTTGTTTGGATTTAATTAGGGGAGAAAACTGTGAGGCAATAAATATGTCAAAATAGGAGCTATATGTGTAAAAGTGGCCTTAAATGTCAAGGGTAATAAAGTGATTCAGTTGTTAATGCACCATTTGTTTCAAGCATAAATAAATAAGATAACTGGCTGTACGGGGGTGAGGATGCAGCATGATGCTGGCTTCAGGGGCCCTCCAGCTGACTTGGTCCCCCGGAATTGTCCCTCCACTGGTCCTCTCCTCGCGGAGACTCTGACTCTGCAAGAGCCATCCAAGGCCTGTTTCCTAAAGGAAATCCTCAGCGCGTTCAGTTGGACATCTTCCACTAGCCGCGTTCACTACATCGCAGACGTCATCCTGGCTTGAACCGCTGTCGCGAGAGCCCCAAGAGTTTTCTCCACAGTAACCGCCTTCCGCTTTGAAGAGAATCCGTTTATCGTTATACCACGTGGCACAGGCCCCTCCCACTCTCCCGTCAAGGTGGGCGGCGCTGAGCAGGGCGGCGGAGCGCTGCCAACTGCGTTCCTCTCCATGGCCGGAAGTGGTTCAGGCACAGCGTGAAGGGGGGGGGGGGTGCGAGCGCGGTGGGAAAGGCTGAGGGAGGGAGCATTTGGCTTCTTACGCTCCGTGGCGCTTCAAGCGTGAGGGCAGATGGGGGAGGCCTCGCCTTAGGGCGGCCTGGCTGCTCTCGAGCGGCGTGAGGAGGAGCCTTCGTTTCCGGTGCAATATGTTCAAGAGAATGGCTGAGTTTGGGCCTGACTCTGGAGGGAGAGTGAAGGTGTGAGCTTCGTTCGGGCTCGGTGGGCGGGAGAGTAAAGCGCGCGTCCTAAACGGCTGGGTTGAGTGACAGGTTCAAGACCAAGAGTTATCTTGGGAGGGAAGGGAGAGCGACTTTTTCTCTCTCTCTTGCTTTCTTCTTGCACTCCCGAAGGCCGCTGCGTGTGCGGGTAGTTTCTGTGACACCGTCATCTTTTAGGGTGGTTGCCTGTCTCCAGGTGAGGCCTGGAGATCGCCCAATATATCGATTACAGAGATCAGTTCTCTTGGAAGACAATGACAGGTTTGGAAGGTGAACTCTATGGCATTATAGGCCTTCTCCACACTCTGCCCTCCCTAGGATTCACCCCTTAATTTCCAGGAATTGGCAACCTTAGCTATTGCTCATTTAGAGGAGACTTAGTCAATTAGTGTAAGTTTCAATGGATGGGTTAGTTCTGTGCAAGCTATAAATGCTTAATTGTTAAAGTAAGGCATTCGATGTCATATTTGTTTCTAGTATTATTGCATTTTACTTTGTGTTTTTATGTATATTATTGGGCAGTGCTTGAAACAAGATAGGAACTGTCTGTCTGGGGCAAGTGATGCACTGTATTCTTGGTGCTTGGTGGGCAACAGAGGGAGGACTTCTAGTGTCCTGGCCCCACTGCTGGAGCTCCTGTTGGCACCTGGTATTTTGGTCAGTATTTATGACAGAGTGTTGGACTGGATGGGCCATTGGTCTGATCCAACATTGGCTTTTCTTATGTTCTTAAGACTTGAGGATGATGCAGAAATACCTACAGATGGGATTAAGACTTTTTTGAACGAAAACGGTACAGTTCTGAGATGCATGTCCATCTTAGTACAAACCTTGATGAAGGTTTGAAGTGTCTATTAATTAAATTTGATTACGTACACTTAGGCTTGGGTTCTTTGGATTCCATTTTTAAACTGAACTAGTATTTCAATTTTATTTTAATTTTCTTTTTTTCAATCAGCTTCTCTTCCCCAGATTTCTCTTATTTGGTTTTTAGAAACAACAATTGTAATTTGGAATTTAAATTTGTGTTAAATAACATTTGGAATTGTTTGTGTTTCAAAGTTCTTTCATAGTTTATAACTTTTGCAGGGTTTTGTATTTACTAAGAAAAAGTATGGCTCTGAGTCTTTATATTCTCTTGTCAAGGAAATATGGTTTTCTTAATATATAATGGAAGAAAGAATTAGTTTCAAAGTGCTGGAAAACATGTTGAATGAAATGTCAGATTTTATAGCAAGTTGAATTCTGAAATGATTTTTGCGTGTTTATCTTATTTAAAGGGTGTTACTATTGTGAAACCTATAGTTTATGGGAATGTTGCACGCTATTTTGGGAAGAAACGGGAAGAGGATGGACACACACATCAGTGGACAGTTTATGTTAAACCTTATAGAAATGAGGTAGGCAAAAAAATTCAACTCAAATTCATAAACTTAGGTTTGTTTTATTCTGATATTGTGCTTGAATATGGGGCTGGAATCTATCAAGCCTCCTTCTTGAACACAGGGGCACATCCTTAAGAGGAAAATGATTTCTGAGAGTTCTATCCCATTGCAGACCCCACACTACATGTCCTGTCTTTCCTTAACCTCACTGTCAGGAGTCTCTTGGAGGCTAGAACAGGAATGGAGAGACAGGAAAATCTGTTCTGCACACAGAACTTCCCTTGTGTTTGGTTGGCTGGCTCTTCTAGCAGTTGTCTAATTTGAAATTAAGTATATTAGTTGCTCCAAACTGGGAAATTTGTATCCTACAATAAATAAAAGGATGATTGTTTAGGAAAAGGTACAGTGAATACCTGAGAAGTACTGCAATCTGAAGTTGGTTGACTGGAAATTCCCATTGGCTGGAATGCTTTTATTGGAATGCGCTATCTTTCTAAATAGGATGATAGTTTAAGAAGCATCTTAGGGAAAATCAGACAGATCACACACATGTTGCAAGAGCCAGAAGCTTAAAAACTGCTAATTCTATCCAAACAAATCAAGGGTCAACTGTGGGGGGTGATGGGGACTAGGAAAGAACAATGAACATTGTAAAGTGTTTAAAGAGGTTGTAAGTAATTGGTGGCTATATTTGTTCTAGGATATGTCTGCCTACGTAAAGAAAATTCAGTTTAAGTTGCATGAAAGCTATGGTAATCCATTAAGAGGTACAATTTATGTTTTATTAATGAAACATGATTTTCATTACTCGTACACTCATACGTCCACTTACAATTACTATTCTTCTCTTTTAGTTGTAACTAAACCACCATATGAAATCACTGAAACCGGATGGGGTGAATTTGAAATTATCATTAAAATATTTTTTATTGATCCTAATGAGAGACCTGTAAGTATTCTAATTCAAATGACATGGGCCTTTTTCATATCTCATTGTATTGCAAGTCAAACTCTGTTTTGGCAGAGCCCATATGGAAAAGGGTGTCTTTAACTTGAATAGCTGCTTGTGCAGAAGACTGTTGGGGTGGTGCACTTTTTCTCTTTAAAATAACATTATAGAATGCTTTCTGTTTAAATTCTATATTGGAAGCAATTATTAAATGCCCACAAGCTTGGCATGAGATAGTCTAGCATCCTTGCTAGGAAGGACTTGGTTCAGCCTTGGTTATGAAGTTCTTCAGTTAGTACTTTATGCTGGGTCAGAGAGGGATCATGGTTTCAAGAGCTGATGTGGGTAACACATTATTTGTGTTACTTGAGATTATTGTAATTTCTGGTTTTTTTAATTCGTTAAATCCAAATGTAGAGCTGGCTTATGTGTAGCTGAATTTAATAGCTGAGAAGGTAGGGGAGAGGGAATTATGATATTTGAAGATAAGAAGAAAATACTTTTTCATGTCTATTGCTTCCAAGATGAGTACAGTAACTTGTGATATCAAGTGTGGGACAGTTCTGATCTACTAGAATTCTGAAAGATGCAAACTTGAAAACATTACTAGTGCAAGTGCCCTGTGACTTATCCATCTAACTGGATTCGTTAGATCCTGTGCAGTCCAATAATGTTTTTCACTGAATGCTTCTCTAGTTAATCACTGCACCTATTGTGTAGGATGTTAACACTTTCTTGGTGACACGCAGTTTAAATAATGTCTCTATAAGTTAAATAATTCATTTCTCTCTCTTGCATAGGTGACCCTGTACCATTTGCTGAAGTTGTTTCAGTCCGATACTAATGCAATCCTGGGGAAAAAAACTGTAGTTTCTGAATTCTATGATGAGATGGTAAAAAAACAAAGTATAATGGAAAAATTTGCTTATCTTAGCATAGAATAAAAATAAGTTGCTTTTTGTCCTTTAGATTTTCCAGGATCCTACTGCAATGATGCAACAACTCCTGACTACATCTCGTCAATTAACACTTGGTGCTTATAAGCATGAAACAGAATGTAAGTCGAATTGCAGAATTTGTAAAGCTATGTGTTATACTGTATTTTAGGTACCTGAGGCATCAATTTGAGGATCAACAGCCAGATTTATAATTCTGCATGCAGTTGCTGCGGAAAATGACCAGGTCTGCAATCTGGCTTTATAGAAATGCTGCGGTTCTTAAAATATGATTTTTAAGCATAACTTTTGTTTTTCATTAAGTTGCCAATGTGGAAGTAAAAACTCGGGAGAAGCTAGAAGCTGCCAAAAAGAAAACCAGTTTTGAGATTGCTGAACTTAAAGAAAGATTAAAAGCAAGTCGTGAAACTATAAACTGTTTGAAAAGTGAAATCAGGAAACTTGAAGATGATGATCAGTCCAAAGAGATATGATACATACAAACCTTCTAAAGAGCCGATCATGGAACTGATTCAGATTTTGTAGCAGCAACTGCATATAAGGGATTTAGACATTTCTTTGCAAGGGGAAATCAACATGTGCCATTTCTTTTTAAGTAGTATTTTCATAATTGAAATTAAAGATGTTTTATCTCTTATTTTAAATCATACAACTACCTCAGAACTGAAAAAAATATTCTAAATTGCATTTGAGGTAAAGAACCTAAGCATTTGTATTGTTCTTCACTGAGCCGTATATGAAATCTCTCTGCGTAATTGGTGTTCATATATTTAGTAATATTGTTCACTTTAAGAGCTACTCAGCCATTGACCTAGATAGGAGGAAGTCTTTGGTGCATAGGTAAGTAAAGTAACAGTGCCATCCCACGCAAAGTTATGTTCCTGACTTCAGTGGATTTAAGATTAGAATGGCACTGTGAGTTTCATGTGGGTTTCTGTTCAGCATTTTCAGGATCATCTGATAAAGTATCTGTTGGACAAAGAAGAGTTGCTGTTGGGTTTACATAGGATACACCTGACAGATTATAAATTTTACAGTTTTTGTGCTCTGTGTGAATTGCAGATACCAGCCTGTGAATAAAAGTATTTTGGGACAGTCTTATTTCATGTTGCTGTGGTTTAAATTTCTTTCACATGTGTATCTCTTCAGTACCAGAAAGTGATATGATTGCGCAGCAGCAGTAAGATTATTTTAAATCACGAATCATAAAGTTGAGATTTATCAGGTAAGCTGGCAATTTGCTTTGAACATACCATTGTTAGTCTGTAGAAGATCAGAGAGTGACCCTAATGCCTTTCGTCCACTGAATGAGTGGGAAACTAGCAATAACTAAACTACCTAGAATCCCAGCAATGAGCAGCAGGCTCAGCCAACAATGATGGCTTGATGGGCAAAAGGTGGACCACAAGTCATTATCTCTGATCAACTTGATTTTGGGTCTGATCTAGCCTGCCACTTAAGTATCCGTATCAGGGATCACTTAGCATGATGCACAGCCCAGTCTTGGGTTTCTGTGGCAGTGGCCACCAGCTTTCCATATAACAGCGGTGGCACAGGTCAGATCCCCATGGACATCCCACATAAAACATTATAAAATAATTTAATAAAAAGACCAAAACCAGGGAGGAGCACCAGTAACTCTTACCAATGATATGCCAACCAAAACAAAATCTTTGCCTGCTGATGGAAGACAGCTGAGCATGCTGGAGTCCATATCCAATCCAATCCAAAGCCTTTTATTGGCATATAAATAAAAATACAGTAATCTAAGTACACACAGAGTCAAATTAAAATTGCCGAGTAACATCACAGAGTATCATCATAAAGAAAAACCTAATTCATCATATCATTTATCAGGCCGCAGGGCCATGGCACTGCAGAGAAAGGAGTCTATATCAACATCCACCAGTCAGGCAGTGGTGTGCTAAGTGGCACACACAGGTGCAGCCAATCACAGCCTGCTGATGTGGCCACTGATTGTTGTCAGTGCTACTCCCCACCTCCAGAGTGCCATAGAACAGGAAGGAAAACCCCCACAACAGTGCACCCTCAATAGAGGCATGTGCCTTGAGTGTTCCTTCATAGCCCACAGGGGAAGGGTGCCACCTGTCCTCTGAAACACCTTAAAGACTAACAAAATTTGTGGTATGGTATGAGCTTTCGTGAGTCACTGCTCACTTCAGATACAGCTACAATATGAGGCCATCTGTCCTATATGCTGGAAAATTGAGTGATTTCAGAAGCCAAATGACAGTAAGTGTGATTGGATTAGGTTTGATATGCAGAGAGGTAGTAGGTGTGGAGACATCAGCATTGGTAATGAGACAGGAAACCTAGGTCTTGATTCAGTGCAAGTGGATTCATTATCTCGAGCACATTGGTTTTCTGTTGTTACCAATGCTGATTTGTTCATGCTTACTACCTCTGCAGATCGCACCTATTCCAATCACATTGCTATTGTCATTTGCCTCCTAATGTCATTTGGCATCTGAAATCACTCCACTTTCCAATATATAGGACAGATGGACTCATATTCTAGCTGTATCTGAAGAAGTGAGCAGTGACTCATGAAAGCTCATATCCTACCACAAATTTTGTTAGTCTTTAAGGTGCTACTGGACGTGATAACTTGGTTTGATATTGACTGTAAGGCTTTCAAAAGAGCAATTGGACAGTTTAAAAATATGAACTGAACAAAGATATTGCTGAGTATTTTGAAACTGAAAAGAATATAAAAAAAATAATTGAAAACTAAAGCTTGAGGCCCCCAAAAATGAATGGGATCATTTATTATGGGCTGTAAAAACAAAAAATCTTTTGGACCTTAAGAATTAAATACAAAGTTCCCCATACCTTGCCATATTCTGGCAGCTGTTTGGGAAGCCTTCTTCATGACTACATTTGCAAATAAAAATGGAGATATACCAAATAGTAGACTGAGATTGTCACCAGATATAAAGGAATGGCCCCCAGTAACAGCTAATGAGATTAAGATCTTGATTAAACAACAAAAAAGGGGAAAGAACCTGGCCCTGAACTAATACCAGTGGAACTGTTTTAAATTGATGGGCACAGATTCTGGCCTCAGTTTTTACTGATATAAACAAGATGGGATGTATTCCTGAAGTTTGGTGCACTGCAATAATTGTACCAATTTACAAAAAGGACCTGACGGAACCAAAAAACTATTGCTCAGTGAGTTTGTTATCCACTGTTAGAAAACCCTATGCTGCAATGCTTTTTGGAAAACTTAGATCACTGGTTGAAGAAAATAACATCCCTAGGAATGAGCAGGCCAGCTTCAGGAAAGGAGCAAGTACTATTGATCATTGTCATATCCTTCAATATCTAGTTGATAAATATACGAGTAGATCTCAAGTCAGCATTTGACACAATTTCTAGGCCCAGAGTATGAGAAAAGTTAAAGAATTATGGTATTGAACTTCGTCTCTTATAGGTAATGCAACAGCTATACAGATGCCCCACTGCCCGGGTCTGGTGTGGGGAACAAGGGCAGTTATCTGGGGTACTTTACCTAGACAAAAGTGTTAAATGGGTGTATTCTTGCCCCCCTGCTGTTCAATTAATAAATAAATTACCTTAGACCTTGTCTCCTGAGGAATGATTTCCATCTCCTGTATTTATCCAAGCGCTAACTTCCAATTCTCTTGTATGCAGACGATGCAGTGATAATGTCTATATCAGTTGTGGGTCTGATACATATCTATTGATAAATATATCAATTGATAAAAAATGAGGATTATTGCAATCATAAAGGTCTGATAGTACAGTAAAATCTAAGGTCCTAATATTTAGTAAAAGGAAAAGAACAAAAACCGTTAGATGGCATATAGCAGGCCAACAAATGGAACAAGTCAATCAATTTAAATACCTGGGAATACATTTTGACACATCCCTTTCATGGAAACCACATTTGGACTTGGCAAGGATTAATGCCCTGAGAACTGTGTAACAATTGTAAAATATTATAGAGCAGGTGGCAAATTTGTCCCCTCGGCTATAAAGGTATATAATACTAAAGCAACAAAACAATATATGGTGTGAAAATTTGGATAGCTACTGTCTCTGATAGAATTGATTCTATTCAATATGATTTTTTTCTGCACATATTGGCTACCCCCAGATGTGGTTCAGGTATAGCACTGAAAGCTGAATTGGGCAAATCATTGATGGAGGCTAAGGCATGAATTAAAGCAGGGGTGTCAAACATGTGGCCCGGGGGCTGGATCAGGCCCCCGCAGGGCTTCTATCAGTCCCACAGTGGAACTGGCTGTTTTCTGCTTCTTCCAGTTCTGCTGCTGCTGCGCCATTGTAAGTTTGCAGCTTACAGATACACACCTGAACAGCATACTCAAGATTGCAACAGCACAGACATTTTGATGCAATAATTCAGAGCAAGAGGTGTCAGTTATCAGACACAAATAAACAAAATATTGCAAGAGTGCTAATGTTTTAAGCATGTTTTTATTTTAAGGAAAAAAAATGTTTGTGTCCTTTATAAAGTTTATATCTCCACTACCTGGCATTACATTTTATGACACACATGGCCCGGCCCAACAAGGTCCCATTTATGTCAGATCCAGCCCTCACAACAAATGAGTTGGACATCCCTGGATTAAAGCATTTCTTTTGAAAGTTAAGATCTTAAAATCTGGGGGAGGATCTACCCTCCTTGGACTTTTACAAGCAGATATATATAATAGCCAATGGAATCAACTACTGGAAAAGAAAATGATATCTCTAGGTATAACAAATGATATGGTGAAGATCAAAGGCCAAAAAAAAATTAGGCTAATTAAATTGTGCATTAAGAAATTGGATATTAACAGCACATCTGTCAGGGCCTGCAGGGTATGCTCAGCATCTTATTTAGGTATTGCCTTCCCAATGCGAGTGCTAAAGTACTTTTATCAGTTGTCAGTACCAAAGCTCAGAAGAGCTTTTTCTATGGCCAGAATGAATTCTGTTCCGTTTGCAGTCTTGGAGGACAGATATTAAAAAGTGCCATATACAAACAATATGTAGATGCTCATCTGATAAAATTGAAACTATTGAACATATGATTATGGAATGTCCTATTTAATGAGTTGAGGGCCAGTTTAATTACTCCTTTACTCCAAATGATGGAAAGGTCTAACAAGACACCTGAGTATGAGGAGACAGGTGATGTTATTATCAGATACAAATGATTCTGTTACTCTGTGGCAAATTTTTAGGGGCAATAATTAAAAGCAGACAGATTCAAGCAAGGCATTGTTTTATTTTATTATTTTTCTACTCACGGCTATAGCTGTATGAGCAGTGATAGATGAATGAATGGATAGTGTGGTTAAGTGTGCGGACTCTAATCTGGGAGAACCAGGTTTGATTCCCCACTCCTCCACTTGCACCTGCTGAATGACCTTGGGCAAGCCGTAGCTCTGATAAGAGCTGTTCTTGAAAGAGCAGTTTCTGTCAAGAGCTCTCTCAGCCCCACTTACCTCACAGGGGGTCTGTTGTGAGGAGGGGGAGGGAAAGGAGTTTGTAAGCCACTCTGAGATACCTTTGGGTAGTGAAGGGCAGGGTATAAATCCAATCTCTTCTTCTCTTCTCTTTTTTTCTACTGCTGCGGACAGACTAACATGTCCTCTGGCAAGAGTCTGACAATCTGCAAAGGACCTGGCGTCATACAACCATCTTCTGACCTGGGGTCTATGGCTGGCCATAGGGGAGCATCAGTGGAATAATAGGCCAGCTTATCTCTGAGATACATGCAGCTGGTCACCACCTTTAATGTTTCCACACCCATCCTCAGTACTATGCTGTTAGTGTTAAAAGATACTGACTATACACTCTTGGAAATTTAAAACAGATTGGTGGATGATGGGAATGCCAGTCTTTAAAAATGTGCAAAAGATTTGCACAAGAATGCAATTACCCTATGCTAACTCTATTCCTTCTCCACCGGTCCTAGTCCCAGCTCCCGCCCACCCAGCGGTTCAAAAGCGTAAGCAAGTAGATAAATTGGGTACCTGCCCCTAGGTGGCAGGGGGCACTCTCCCCCGTGTGGGCAGTGTGCAGCAGGACCATCGGCAGCGGCGGATGGCGGTGGCGATG